AAATTTACCGTGGAGTTTAGAAAATTGAGAGAACATAGAAAATTGTACACAAGGCGGAAGGGGTCAGAAAAATATGAAAAAATAAGGGTTGTGTCCGCCTGTGTGTTCCCATCATCTTGCATATTTTTTCAGATTTTTACAGTAGAAGTCGATGTCAGGTCAGAAACCCAGTTTTTGTCCAAAACTGGCAGTTATTGAGGCATCAACCTTGTGAGACCAATAAAGTTGTCAATTTTGCTTCAAAATTTGAAATGTCTTCACATTGTGAATTCTACATCTTTGATTTACACTGTACATGTTGGAATCAGCTGTTTCTTCAAAAATGTGTGAGGTACAGCAATCACGGTCACCATCAGCAAAGCCAGCAAATCTTGTAAATCTTTGTTGAAATGGCTTTAGTATCTCAATGGAAGTTGTAGATCTAGTATGTGGCTTTCATAATTTGTAAGTACCAAATGAATTGAGCAAAAGTTGGTGTACTTTTGAGTGTTCACAGTTTCTGCCCAAACCTTAGTAGTTTTGGACCAAAATTGAGTTTCTGACCAGATAAACACCATAAGCATTTTTCTTTGGAATATCATCAGAACTGATGGTAAAAATATGAAAAAATATGCAAAATCATAGGTCAGCACAGGCGTATTCAACCATAATTTTTTCAATTTTTTCTGATCTCTCATGCATTGCTGAGAATTTTCTACATTTGCAATTTTCTAAACTCCACGGTATATTAGTGATTTGGTGTAGTGTCTCAATATCCAAGTATCATTTATCTGTTTCAATTTGATTTTCTATTTTCTCTTGCTACGTGTTATTCAAAAGATGTAATCATTGTTCTTCAATAAACAAAAGATTCACAGATCAATTTGGAAGATGATCCTGAAGTGATTTGTTTATTGATGACCTTTCTAATACACACGTGTGATCCTAGTTCAAGTGACTAAGGTGGATTGGGAACCCAACTTGGTAACTGATCTTCTTGGCATGTGATGGCCTCCAAGAAAGGATGTCTAGGGTTCTTGTGCTAAAATGATAGGTTGTTGTTGAATGATCAACAAGGGTGATTCAGGACTAAATGGCATTAAAGGTTCACACGCTAAAATAGATAATTACACATGCACATCTATTTGTAAAGATCTTAAGTGATCTTCTACGGGTCAATGATTAGTTGTTCTTATGATCAGTTCTTATTCACCTCTATGATGTAGTTGTTTACTGTTTACTGTGCACTTTATTCTTGTTCGGATGGGTATTTAAACCCTTGCTTTTGTCTGATTTCTTTCGTTACTCACCTTCAATCAAATTACCAAGCTTACAACAGCATTAAAAGCAACCCTTGACATACCTATTTCTATTTTGAGCCTGATCAATTTCCAGTGATAACCCTCCAAAGTTGGTGATAGCCATGTCCTTGATATCCTTTTAATTCTCTGTTTACTTGCTCTTGGTTGATAGAGTCACTGTCCTTTGATCATTGTAATCTTCAATAAGAAACATATCTCTTACTAAAGCTCTTACCTTGGTCAATAAGCCCACTCATTGACACTATTCCAACATTCTACAAATATTAGTATTATATTCAATATGTGGTATCTAGTTCAATAAGTAGGCTTATTCACAACTGGGGGTCTGGCCAAATTGCTAGGAATTACAATTGTTTCATTGTTCCAAAGTTCAAATCCATTATCCTTTGTTCGGATTTGTCATGATTATCCCCATTTATTGTTTTTCCTTTACTCATAACCAGCAATATATCAGCAGATTATAAGGGAAAGGAGGGAGCTGTTACCATTTTTTGTTCTTGAAAGAGAGTTGAATTTATTACTGATTACAATTGTGTTTTTTCAAGAATCCTTACAGTTTTGTTACCAGTATCAAATTCATTATTGTCAAGCTCTATTGTCCAGTTTTCACTTAATCCACACTTGCTCAATCAACTTTGCTCTTGTGAGTCAGATCAAGTGATACACCACGGGTCAGCGCTGATATTGATTCAAGGTCATCTGGCCCAATGCTGATTTGATATCAATTTGATAACAATTTGATATGCAAATTTTTGTTATGAATTTTATCTCAGTATCACCAGCCCCAGCCGGTGTGAGGAAGGATTGCACAGCCGCCAGAGCTCCATCGGCTGGCTGTCAGCAGATTCTAATCACAGGTCTCAATATCAAACCAATATCCAAAATTTGCAAATCAAGTTGATATCAGGCCTGTCAAAGAGTTGACCCGTGGTGTATGTGAACAGTAAGTTACTGTACTAACAATCTGTATGACAATAGAACCATTGAAAATTGGTCAACAATTTAATTTATACATCACAATAGGATAAATCAGGATAAATCTTTTCATTAACAATTAGTCTTGTCACTTGATCTATAGTACTGCCTATGTCCATAGTTGACTGGCTGTTTGATTTTGGGATTGCTGCTTGGTTGACAAAATTTGAATTGCTAAAACTCACCTTCCACAATCAACAAGTTGTAAGTTTTGGATTCTAGTTGGATAAAAGAATTGATCACTAATCTGTTCTGTTACTTCTTTTCTGATAGATCTCCTGTGTAGCAGCGAGTAAAGTCAGTACAGACTAAACCACAACCATTCAATCAAATTTCATCATAAAGGGTTCTTTTGTATGATTATTGGCAAAATTTTTGATTAGTAGCTGACAAATTATTGTATTTGTTTTACTTTTTGTTGATCAAACAAACGGGTTTTATTCTCAATTGGGATATGACCTGGGTTTTTTTCTGCCCCATCTTTGATTATATTTTTTGATTCCTTGAGTTATATAATATAATTGTGATGGCTGGGGATGTTATAATTGCTAGATTAAATAATTCTACTAGCAATACCACTCCAGGTGCCCCTGTAGCTGCCACTGTAACGTCTGCTACACCTGCTACCACTATTAAAAAAGGTGTCAGGGTGGCCGTAAACAGTACTCACAAATTGATCTAGTCAGTCAATTTGAGCTGGGGTCCTGACAGGGTTATTCCGCTGGGTACGGGGAATACTAAGTAACTTATTTGAGTAATTGCTTTAACAACAGAAAACACACAGTATATCAGAAGCTGATAGACACTTTCCGTGTAGGGAACTCGTCAACGAAAGGCCCACTGTAAGATTACAGGTGATGGCCGGTCACGCCCGAGCCTAGGTTTAAATCCCAGAAACTCAAGAGTTTAAGAGTAGCCTGAGATTATAAATCTACAGGGATTTTGCCAACAAGAGTTGTCACAAAACCTGGGTCCTTGACCAGGGGAAGAGAAATAAACTACTGACCAATGATTGTAGTAGTGGACAGGTGAGGGTTTTTAAGAGTGCTGATACTGGTGGTCTTGAGAGAAAGGTGGACACTGATTTTAATAGTGTTTTTCAAAAGGGAGCTGGCAATTTATTCTTTAGGAATGGCCTTGGGAGCTGGCTGTTGAAGAACAGGATTTACTTTGGTTCTAAATAGAGATGCAGAAGGGAATGTTGGTATGGTAAAATCAGGTGAGTCCTTCTTTCCTTCTTGGTTGAGGTACTCTCTTTATAATTTTCAGCTCCTGGCGCCAACTTGTGGTTCCAGTCTACAGATTATAGGGTGAATTCCTCTGTGCTGTTGGTTAGTCAGCATCCGTTCATTTCTCCCAATCCGGATGATGAGTGGTTGATTTATGGGTTTGTGATTCAAGGGCTTGCTATCACTACAACAAAAAACTGATTTTCCGCGAGGATTTTCTATTCCCAATGGGCAGATAATCACGTGACTTCTGTACAGTGTGTACACAAATCAGGGGCTTCACAGTGCTGTACACTCTGGGACTGTACATCGCACATCAGACACGCCGGGCAAATTCAGGTCATGCAGTGCATACAGGTTGCACGGTCCTGAATGTATGCCAGGACCTGGGTCACCTGTCACGCATGCAGGACTCACTATCCTGCACACACTCTGTATCAATCATACCAATCACATGTATTTGAGTACGTACTGAGATGTATATGTCACATAGCTATAAGCCTCTCATGAGGTCTGTATTGGCCCAATATTGTGGGCCAGATACCCATGTCACTTGTATGACTGGTGGGGGTGCAATACATGAAGACATGTCATGCAGCTGTGACATGACTCAGGGTGCGAAAATATTTTCTGTTTTCAACATGACTGCGCAACCTGTATTCACTCCATGACCTCAATTTGCCTGGTGTGAGACAAAACAGGACAAATCACTGCTTCAGCCTCTGTACACCGATCAAAACGGCCGACCGAAAACAATCACGCACACTCCGAACCACATCACCACTGCCTCCTTTGACAAACCACGACGGAAGCCACTCCAACCACACATGGACTGGCTCTCTCTCTGGATCGTCTCGACTCAAAACTCCTTAAAACGTTTCCTCCTGACACGCTTGGAAACGGCCGTGACCAGACCACAACTTCTCTTGCCAAACTTGATGGTCCCAAAGCATACCCTCAAGGGTTAGGCTTGTGATCTTATTATTATCATTTTTTTGTTGATATCCTCACAAAATGTCTCGCCAAGTTGATTGTTTTGTAGCTTTTCATTGTGGAATCAATATTTCTGACCTTGCATTATCTCTCTGTCACCTCTAGATTTGTGGCTATGACAAAAAGATGAAGGAACTCAAAAAGAGGTTAAACCAAGAGGTCAACTAGGAGCAGTGGATTGACATGGGAAGCATGGATCATCCTCTTTGACAAACTCACTATCCGGCTGATCAAAGGTCACCGGACGACCATTGTAAATGGCTCCAGTTGCTGAGTATCAAACCTCTATATAAATAGTCTTATCAACTCATTACATGTACTTTATCACATTTGCAGCAATACAAACTTGTTTTACACCATATTGCATCATTGAGAGGTTTTACAAAGGATGATAACATTGCAAGAATTTGATGGATAAGTGATTTTCTATTGTAACTTTTGTCGGCTTAGGTAAATGGAATAGAAATCTAAACCAGTAAATTGACATTGTCGGACCCATTGCCTACATGGCTTCATCTTCATCCAAAGAACCAGTTTTTTCAATAACTTCTTGAGTGTTGTGTGACGGCGACACTCCAGCACGATCCTCAATGATCTGTACGTGAAATTGAGGGGTGTGGATTAATTTTTGCAAACTTCTCCTTCCAATCTGGTATCATAAACAATTGGGCTTTCAGAGAACTTGTTGAGTGCAAGTATTGAAGCAACATGATCAGATCGATTAGGGAGCGATTGTTGAATTAACATTAAATAAATATTTATACCCTCATTGGCGATGTTGGCACCACTCAAAGCACTACATGGCATTCCTAACTCCCCCTAACATGGGCAAAGATCTTGATCTGATCATTGGTCATCTAAACACCTTGAGTAAATGAGATGGCGAAGGCTTCAGCACCTGTTACTTTAGCTTCGCGTAGTTGATGGCAGATGTTGGGGATAAACTGACGAGGTGGACAGAAGACAGGCATTTTCGCATCTCTAGCCGCGTCAATCAGAGCAGGAACGGCCTTCAAGTCGACTGGAAGCTGGTTAGGTTTAAATTGATAAGCAAAGCAAAACCAATCAGTTGAGGAGTCCAGACCATGAATATGACTATACTCTCTAGCTTACCTGGTCACCAGGCAATACTTGACATTTTCATGCTTCTTGTTGATGATTGTGGTAAAATTTTCACCGTCAACCTGAGTGACAACTGGATAGTCCGGATTCAATATTAGTAAGCGCGATCACAAGGGATAAGCTTTGAGTAGTGGATGATGAATGAGACATATCGTGGTATTAGTTTGACTGAGAATGGCTCCAGGGGTGAGAATGTGAGTCGTGGACTTACCAGCGTGCCTATCCGGATCTCTCGAGCTGGAGGGACAATTGAGAATGGGTGAGGAGGATGTGCACAATGGCCGTTTGCGACGGTTTCAGCCAAAAATGTCGAGTCTTTTTGAGTTTTTGAGACGGCTGACGGCTCAGCAGGGCTCAGCCCGTTTTGGTTGATGTACAGACCTGTACAGACGATGAAGTTGTGGCACACCGTACACGTCTGAGGGAAAGTGTGCAGTGTACACAAGGTCGGGTGTACAGCGCTGCTGTACAGTTGACCACGCTGCGCGCTGCATGTACATGATGTACGGAGATCACGTGATTTTCTGTTAACATGAAACCAAAATTCCCCGCGGAAAATCAATTTATTTTTGTAGTGTATTGTCTCTTCACTGACTAATAGTTGAATTCATTTCCTCTTGCGTGGGCTACTAGACTATCGTCATGATAACTATTTAGTTTCTCTAGGTGTTTTGATTAACTAGACCAGCAGTGTACTGAGTCTCCTAGGTGCTTAGACTGTTCATTGGTTACTCAAAGTACTAGTGGTTCTCTATAGCTTTTTGGGACTAGTTCTTCTTAGTTGTGTTTCCTATATCAATGTTCTTATAAGCGTTCTATTAGGGTTTTTGATACTAGACCTCACAAGTTGTGTTGTTTTTTTGTTGTATTAGTCAATGTTTGCAGAACATTTTATTCGGGTCTTTGAAACTAGACCTTACAAGTTGTTTTTATTGTATATATATATTTATTATCTTATATTTATTATGAAATTTAATCTGTTTATATTTGTAGACCTTTTTGGTTCTTCTCCTGGAAGAGCTTGAGGTCTGACAAAAGGTGTTAAGAAAGTAGCCAAAGCAGCTACTGTTGCAGATGCTGTTACTGCCAACCCTATGGGTAATACAGTAATGAAAGGCGCAACCTCACCACTGCAGGTTAGTAAAGAAAATACTGTAATGGATGTAAGTAATCCTCTTACATCAAAGTGTGGTGAAGGTCTTTTCAACTTACCATGACCACAGGACCTAGGCCCGGCCAACTGGCAAGAAAGCAAGGCATGAAGTTTGTGGCGACACAACCAAAGGACATCCAAGTGACAATCTTAAAGGAAACAGTAGCATGTTACAAACATCAGGTCTTTCAACTGCAGGGCTATGTGGCAGACCTGGAGGCTTGGTTGGTGAAAGTGCTAGCTCAGCCTTCACACAAGATCACATACCTTGGGAATCACCACCCCATAACACTGGTGATCAAAGCCAAAACCAATCTCATGTTTATCAGTGATGGTGACTCCCAAGGTATGTGATCTTGGGTGGAGGCTGAGCTAGCATGTTTGCCAACCAAGCCTCCAGGTCCGCCAGATAGCCCTTTGTGAAGAAACAAAGTACTATGCTCAAAGACTACACCAAATCAATAATTTACCATGGAGTTTATAAAAGTAAAAATGTAAAAAATTTTCAGCAATGTGTGAGAGGTTGGAAAAATTTGATAAAATTATGGTGTAACACTACAAGAAACATAACATTTTCTGGGCAGAAAATTAAATTATTTGTATACAAAAATCTGGAAAGGTCAGAAACAGAGCAAAAAATGTGAAAAAATATGCATCCTGTTCCTTGGTATGAGATCTCCAATCTGCATATTTTTCCGTATTTTTGGGGTTCATATTGGTGAGTGTACTAACAATAAACCCTCATAATCACCAGATTACCACCTGTAACAGATGCTGGAATTTGGCTGATCAGTGCTGAGAGAAAGTTTTGATTACTATAAAACCCCATAACTTTGTCAATTCTGGCTCAAAACACTCGATTTTGGGTGCATTAGAAAGCTGAATTCCTGAACTACAACTTTTGTTTTGACTCAAAATG